TACTCTTCATACTTGAAGCTTAGAAAGTTTCTATGCGTTTCAAAAACGTATATAAAATGACAGAATAGAAAATAGATACTTTGTTAAAATCCAGATTCATTTCTATCCATTCTACAGCTGTATTGAATTCTTTATCCAAATTCATTATGTACAAAGTATCCAAACTATCGATTAAGGAAGCCCCGAGTGGTTCATTTCCAAGTACAAAGGGTAAGTGGCCAGTTTTTGAAACCGGTCTCAACTCATTACTTCCCCATGCATAGGTAACATAACCATTCCAAGCAAACTTCATCATCTAAAGTTTATTAAAAAAGATCACAAACAAAAAAGACTACAACTTGAAAATATACTCTATAATCCTCAATAATTTTAGAATCCAAACTTTAAAAACATAATTAGATAAACAAAGACAGGGGGTTGAAGATCGATAACTGTACAAGATGGGGCAATAACATTTGGAAAATTTCAATATTTATGCTAAGCTAATGATAAAAGCTGATGTAAATTCAGAGACAAAACAGTAAGGCAGTAAATTTTGTAACCATCGATCGATCTATGACTCCCAAATGTACTATATACATTTTAATCAGATTGCAATTGTTTTGAAACTATTCATTAAAATACACAGTAAAGTTGTGTAACACAGACATAGCTGACTACTTGTGAACGTTCAAACAACTGTAGTTTTTTTTAAATTTACCTGGTAATTGTACTTGGGTAGCGCATTATAAGTACGCGTCTTTTGCATAGCCTTAATAGAACCAATATTATATTCCATACAGTTTAATTTCCGCACACGAATATGCTCGAATGAAATTATAAATAATAGAAGCTTGAATTTATCAACCGTAAAAAGTAAAGGACCGGGCAGCAAAAAATTATTCATAATTTTACCTCATATTAACAAATTTCATAAGGCATTTTATGAGTAAAGATATACTTTATAAATACTTCAAAATATACACAAAGAAACATAGGATAGAAGAGTTAGTAAAAACATTACAATATTGATTAATTTTATTGGTGGATAGATAAATTGTGAGATTCCATTTAAAGTATACGACCAATTAGTAAATCCTTCTGATCACGTCTACAATAGAAGTTTCGATAAATGAGACATGATGTCAAAAGATAGAGTAATTTCTGCTTTTAGTTATTAGTGAGTAGGTAGCATTTTCAGTTATTCTACTAAAAATAAAACAATCAAATGTTGAGAGATTACACGATTACAATTTCAATAAAAAAATACTGTTTCGTTTGGTATGATGGCGACATTTTACTAAAATATAAAGTAGTTGACACGGCAAACTAATATAGATATCAATCACGCTTTAAACAGGCAAGTCCTAAAGCAAAAAATTGCATTTAGAGGAGGAGAAATGCATCACAAATATCCCAACACTATTGCTGTGTTACCAGAAGACTCGACATTTTATCAGAGTCTTCAACAAACACGACTATGTCATTGAAGTATATTAAGTCGACAAGTGGACCTCCTGGAAGGGAATCAATCCCTGAAAATCCAATCGACGGGAACCTTATTTCAAGCAGTATGTCTATGATGAAGTTAAACAAAAATGGAAAAAGTAGGCAGGCTTGACGGACAACACTTGAGGTTGCGAAATCAGATGACAGTTCGATACAAGCTCTCACTCGACTGTTAATGCTCGAGTAAAGAGCTTTCGATAAATTTATGCACTTTTGAGGTGCGCCTTTCAATGAAAGACGCTGCCACAGAACATCTCGCTCTACAGAGTCAAATGCTGATTTTAAGTCAACACCATCATCATTTATTTATTTCAACACATAAATATTGCTACAAAGGACCACCGAATACATATGCGCCACACAAGTCATTTGATTTGTGTGTGCGTTGTGATACTGCCCTGGTGCCCAGACCGAAGCAAGTGGGAACGTAGGCAGAAACGACAAAAAAGCAACGACGTGTGTCCCTATCCTTCCTAGTTCTTACGGAGGGTGTGTCTCTTCGGCTGTCCGTTTTGCCGAGGTGAGGTCAAGTGAATGTCCACACTACTATCCTGTATGTGTGTTTCCGAGACACAGTATACATCAATCGTACGAGATTCTAGGGTTTTAGCCAACGAGGCCTGCTGGCCGATTTCACATAGGGTACGTACGTTCAAGGCTCCAATGTGTAGTTTGGAGCGAGGTTTCAGTAGACCTGGGATAGTATTTCCCGCACTAGAATTGTTGGCTATGGTGACACTTGAGGAGGAAGTCGAAAGAGGAAGTTTAGAGTTCAACGTCGAGGAAGGAGGAATAATAGGAATTGAGGACGGAGATAGATTATGAATACAATGATCTTGAGTGCTGTTAGAGGTGTGAGGGCGGTTATCACTTCCCGGTTGTCCACACCACGGAAGGGTTCTTGTGGAAGTACTTCATAAGGAAATCGAGTTAGAGTTGGTCTTAGTGACTTGATAGCGTGACCGCAGTGCCCAACAAACAACTTGTTGGGACCGTACCGCAGGAGACGGAAATTCGTGGGACAAGGCGAAGTGTGCAATTTTAGGGTTGACCTTTTTAACCCCACCCTTCATTCGTGGGAAGGCGGCACCGCTGTTATGCTGGTTGTCTGAAGGAAACACCTTACTGCTGTCACACCTCTGTATAGTCAGCAGACCTTGGGTTTGATGATTTTAGTTTTATCGCTCTTCAACCGACCTGTCTGACATGGTATGACTTTGAGGAACGGTTGTTCCAGCCGGTATAGATCGGTTGCTTCATCACGATAAGCAAGCCCGACCACCACGTCAAGGTGGCATCAACGGTCGGCACATTCATGAAATGAAGCAACTACTACCGTATATATCAATGAAAAACTGTAACAGGAACATAACACCATGAACGTACGGACGTACATTTCCATCTAATGGAACAGAATATACGAGTATGGAAAGGAGATTCCTTTATATGTTATTGAAAAATTTACTTAGCAATATTGTTAAATAATTACAAAATGAACTTGGCAGCAAATGAATGTTTATAGTCTAATGTACAATTCAGGCCATATTTCTTTAAACTAGGAAACTTCAATGATTCGCTCTACAGTAATTTTGTCAGTAAACTGAATTTAACCATGAAAACTTTATTATACCTAATACAATTACAATGATTACACGTAGAATATATCAACTGGAGAATTATAAACACTTGATAATATATTTTCTATTATTGTATTATCGAATAAAAAAATCATTTTTTAATAATAACAGTAACTATGTATATTCTGTGGACTTTTATAAACACTGTACCAATTTATAGACATGATCAGGTTTCTGTGTTTAAATAGTATGTATAATTGCATGAGTTAATCAAAATGCTACCTTTATACATATATATTAAAACTTAGATAAATGATTGTACATAGATATTTATGAATTGAATAAATTCATCGTTAATAATATATAGATAATCCCTCTTTTATTATAAATGAAATGTGTTTTCTAACCGACTAAAATTGAACGAAAATGTTAAGTTAGTGTGTAAATAGGTAATAAATTTTACACAGAAAATAAAATTTAAAATAACTTATAGGTTTGATGACTAGTGAAACAGAAAAAAACGAAAACAAGAGGCAATGAGTTCCTGACACATTTCAAATTCAACAGATAAAAGATTGTTTTGTAAATAGATGGATGGTAACTAGCATTTGGATTCACGACGCCCGTTTTGTCCTACTTGGGGGTCATTAGCTTGATGTACCTCGATTCCAGAGTTGACGTTCACTCGGTGACTCAAACACACTACCGTTCGCCAAAAACGCTATAGCGTTATCCGAGTCACTACTGAGCCCAAATAGCCACCAGCTTATGCAATGAGGTGAAGTTTGATAAAGGTACATACAAGTAGAACGAAACATGAGTCCTGGATTCCCCTCTTAACCACCATTCATTATAATGCATGTGCCTTTAAAATATATCGAGTCAATCCGCACAGAATGAACATCTGAGAATAAGAGACTGATCAATTGAAGTCCTAAACGTCAATGGGAAGATTCAGATAATCAACACAAGATAAATCAAAAGATTGTTTTATTTACATTAAACAGAAGTCCAGTGCTTCCACGTTTGTTACGGTGATCTAGCTTAAATAGACGTGTGATTTCAACTGTGATCACAGTCATTTAAACAACTGGTTTACTTCAGTATATAAGGTATGGTAAAATTGAACATTTCTTATTTTATTTATTTATTTATTTGAACACAAATATTGGTACAGGGGGGCACCAAATATATATGCGCCACACAAAACAATGATAATTTGAAGAGGAGAAAAAATATAAATATATATATATATATATATATATATATATATATATATAAGTAATGAACGTGGGGAATTATAAAAAAGAGGGAGAGAACAATGATGGGGAAAACGGAAAGGTACAATCAGGAGAAATCTTTCAGTTAAGGAAGATACAACCACTTTTTATGGAGAAAGTAAAAGGTTACAGCAGGATCGCCACTGGCTTCTATTCTGAGCCATAACTGATAACGTCTCTAGCCACTGCGTTACACCGTCTCTCGGACATTTCTTGGCAAGTCGACAAAAATTTATTAGCACGAGATGGTGAAAAAAAGTATGCAACAAAAATATATATATCACTTCCGATAGTAGGAGTTAGTAACGGCCCAAGCTTTTAGTTGAATGTCATGAATAAACTTTCAAGATTTCAAACATTAACGGCACATGAATGTAAATGATGCTAAAAACAGTGTGAAATATAAATACATAAATCCGTTTTAAGAAAAACAGTATATACAGAAAACATTTTGAAGAATTTTGAAAGTAGGATCTCACGAAAATGACAAGTATCGAGTAGCAAATGTTGAAAATTAAATCTCTTAAGTGAACTGAGGATAGAGAAAAATTACGTCTTATGAGTCATTAAACAATATGTATTACGATTTGGTGTCAGAAATATTTCAATTAATGTAACGGTGCATGAATAACAAAACCGTAGATTCATAACTTACCTCTCGAACCTTATCTCGCATAGAAGCTACTGTCTCATTTGCAGGAAGGCCACCTTGAATTTCTTCCTTGGAAACAAGTGTTCCATCTTTGAAAGCTGCAATTGACGAAAAATTTTTAGAAATAGGAAGTGTTTGAGTAGGAAGCTTTTTTGCATTTTCTAAAACATCGGATTCTATAGGTATTTGTGCAGGTGGTTGGATTTGACGAGAATCCTGGTCAGACTCTGGAAGGTTAGGTGGGGGTCCGATTATCGGTGGCCTTGGGAATTTAGGAACCTTATAAAGAGAAGAATTACATGAAACCACCTCTTTAATATTTAAATCGATTGTAAAAAATATTGAATGAGTACGATTTTTCGGTAATGCACTGGAAATATAGTAATATATGAATGACATACTGAATCAATTCCTGGAAATAATTATCCCCTTTCGAAATGCTTAATTTACTCGTGAAATATTTATAAAACCTGAGATGATAACAAAATTGTTAGAAAAAGGTCGATCTAAGTCTGAGTGAGTAGTCGGTGTACAGAAATTTTAACGGTAAATAAAAATTTCGCAGTACCCTGAATACGCTAACGAGGTCTTTATTGTACTAAAAGTCAGTCTCGTAACGTGTGGTTAGCAATTTTGGGAAGAATTTAGACGATTTATAGTAATTTTAGGTAATTAAAAAAAAATAACTTCGAAGAAAAGTAATTATCAGAGAAAAATTTAATATTTCTAAATCTCTACGAAGATAAAACTCAGTAGTATTTAATTCCAAAATTTTTCACACACTTTTTTAAGTTTTATGACCGAATGAAACAAGCTGGATTGAAGTTTAACTACTTTGATCATTCCTTTCATCAATGAAAAGGCAAGATGACTACAGATGTTCGTCATCCATGTGAAACACCGTTTCCATCATAGCCATAGTCGGCAACAGAACTTTGTTTACAAACATTTTGTTTTGATTTTTACCGCTCTCGAACCGAAGTGCCTGGTATGAAAAGACTACGAAACAAATGTTTCAATCAATATAACCTAATTAGTTTGTTACACTTGAAAAGCCGAACAAACAAGTCAACTTAAAAGCTAACGTTGCTTCTTTCCTTCGTAAGTATATTTTTTTTACTGCAATTGATATTGTGATATTCTTTGTCCTAAATTTTATTTTGTTAATTTCCACCCTAGCTGTGCTGATTTGTAGTGTTGCGAATTAGATCAATGCACGATTGTGCCAGGACGTACATTGTCTATGTCTATGAAAAATTTGCTCTGGTCAATAAAGTTAATCCAGATTATTACAAGGTAAACAGATTGCTACATCAAGACAATGTAAAACTTCGGTTTCATATCTTATCCACATAAACTGATCATATATATATAAACTAAGTAAGGAGAGCAATCCTTTAAAAAACCTATCGATTAATATGGACACAATGAAAAGGGAAGACCGTTAATTAGTATGAAATACAATATTTAAAATGACTTCAGACTATGGCTACGTGCCGAACAAAAATAAATATCCCATTTAGAAAAAGATTTGAAGTGTATTACTTAGTGTTGTAGACAGTAAAATTATAGATGCGATAAATCCTATTTTATGTTTAATGAAAAGCTATTAACAAGATAACAGTTGGATTTTAGGAATAGAGGTTAAATTTTGTCACATTATGAAGGCAATACACGATATGATAATTTGAGATTACTGAAAGATTTCTGTAATCTTAACCAGAATTATTCCCAAGTATTAATTAAGCTACGATATTGAGTCATAGCGGTTATTGTAACACAAATCTAGGATTTTTCTCGAATAACAGTAAGTTATTTTACATAGTATGTTACATGAAAATGGGGTTTATTGGCTTATTATTTATTTATTTATTTTAACACAGGTATTGGTACAAGGAGGCACCAAATACATATGCGCCACACGAATCTCAATTGATTTGTGTGAGGGCTGTGATACTGCCCGGATAAAAATCATTCCGTTTATATTAAGAGAATAACTTTTAGAAATGATTTAGTTCTATACGGCACATAGGTCACTAATATTTCAAAATAACTGTAATGTCGAACAGGGAAGTTCATATATCACAGCGGACAGGAATTTGGGCATAATATATTATTATTTTTTGCAGTAACGAGTAAATTCCACTAGTTTATGTATTTTGCCAATAACCATTAGGACATACATGTTATGTTTGATTGTCAGGTGTATTTACTTATTTGACTCCTTTATAAACTGAATGTGTGATTATAAAGTATTTATCATTTTACGATGGCTTGTCGAAATCTATCCGCTTGTTTGAACAATCTTTTCAGAATCATAGTCTCAGTTTGAGGATACGACTGTTAGTATATCCTGATTCTGTGATTGGATCCATAGATATTTTACGAATTAGTATATTAATTTTTTGAATCAATGAGTGCTGACAACATGTTTAGAACGTTCGACTTTCATCCACTAAGTTGCGGGTTCTAACACCCCACTACACTTACTTTGATTTTGGGAACCAGGTAGTATCAACAGTCCACACAGAGTGTGGTTCAAAATTAAGTACCTGGTAAATGGGTTAATACAATTACAACAAAGTACAGAAAAGTAGAAAGGTTTGATATTGATTAAATCAAGTCATGTGATAGATCGACATCACTTTTATTATCGACACAAGAGATCAAGTAGTGGAAGTTTAACAGAGTAGCACTTGTACTATGTACCTCTTTAGGGATACACATTTTCTAATATTTCTCAGTCAACTGAAGGTATCCTACAGATAGAACATAAACTAGTTATGACTGACTTGATTATTCAATGAAGATATGGAGTTACACCTGTATGTGAACACTTATTTTCATGAACGGTACTGATTGGTAAGATGAATGCTCAAAATCATTGTTTCTTATAATTATCAAAAAAAAAAAAAAATACACAAAGTAGAAATCATTCAGGAATCATTATAGTATGTTCAAAATCTTATTACATTTATTTATAATAATATAACGAACCTTATCATACGATTAGAGACTTAGTAAATTTAAGCAGTAAAGATAATAATGATAATATTGTTTATATGATTAATTTTTACTATTTGGATTCCATAATGATCACGTTCATTTATACATAACACTAGATTCAAATCCAACTACTGAATTTATACAAATTTAAAACGTGGTTTAAGTAAATTATTAAAAGTTAATAAATTCTTTTGTGAAATGAGTTTACATTATTCTATTAACTTAGATTATTGATCAGAATAGATAAATATTTTCTATTTCATTTTTGTTCAATTAAACTTTTGTTGGTGAAGTTGATAATTAGCGTTGAAGTAAGTCAAATAATGGCTACTAAATTAAGATATAACATTGTTAACATAAATATAATGAATAGTTGGTTGATGTAAATGAGGTCTGTGTTTAGAGACTTTATTATGATACTGCTCTAAATTACTTGCAATAATGCATAAATATTTATTATTTTCCTTTCTTTGAGTGTTGAATATGATAAGATTCAAAATACAATTTTATCAATTCTTCAGTGTCAAATAGCAATCTATTCGTATTACTCATGATCACAGATGATGTATAAAGTGTCCACTTAAAGTACAGGCCAAACATTGATATTTTAAGTAATAAATCAATCAAAGGTGTTCCAATAAATTTGTGTTTAAGTAACTATTTATTCACATTACTGAATACCTTACTAAAAAATATTGAAAAATACAGAGAAAATTTCCTTACCTCTTCATAAAAGTAGCTAAGTAAACTTGTTATGACAAAGATTATTATAACAACTAGAATTAAGTGAAAAATACGTCGACATCGAAAACTTCGGATTCGTAATTTCCTATAATAAAAAAAGAAAAAACAAATCAAATCAATATGACCGCAAATCAACTAGTTGGATATTAAGGCACTCATCTTTGAGAAACAAGAATATTCAAAAAGGAAAAGTGAAATTTTATCAAACAGTAAACTTAGTTAAGCATAAACAAGCGACTGATCACGATGTTACAAATGCCTATAAAACCAGTAAATCACAATACCGAATAATCTTTCTTTTCTGACTATGATAACGCTAACTTGAATCACTACCCCTTAAAAGTTTGTTCATTAAGTTGTTACATTCATTATATAAGAAATTACACATAACCGCTTATAGGTAAGTCAAGATTCTAATATATGACAAACAAATTGAAGGACGTTCGTTTAGATCTTAGTATTGTAACCTCGTGTCACTATGATATTTGGAACTCAAAAACATGCATCTTTTAAATTTTAAACCTAGAGAATCGATTTGATAGAATTGGATGACATTAAAGCCGATGGTGTGTATTCAAGCTTTTGATCCTCATTTGTATGTTATGGGGGCGGAGAATGTTACAACCATTACAAGTATGACAAACTGGTATACAGATGAATGTGTGCTTTAAAGACAAACATTTTCGCATAAAAGGTGAGTGAATTTGACTTGACAGTAAAATGGTCATAGTCATTGAATAAAAAGTATAAGTAAATGAAAATATCAACTACTAGGCTTTCATGAACGTTAAAACCAAGATGTGATCAGAATAAACCACCGAATAATACAATGACAAACGATTTAGAATTTACATTGTTCAGAAAAAGAACACTAACACATTTATTGGTCGTTTCTATTGATGCTAAGACAATTTAATATGTATGGATATTTGGCGTGATCTAAGTGGTTGGTTAAAAAGGACAAGATCTTAAAAAAGGAATTTGAGTTATGGAAATGGTTAGAAGAAATTTCAGAAACGAGCATCAGATTCTGTCTTTGCAGAGTAGATAAATTTACAGAATGCTAATTATCTGCCATTATAAGTTCTAAATTATCGTCATATAAAGAGAAACGGAAAGAGTAAAAATATACATACAGAAGGGGTACATAGGCGAACTCTTTTTAGAATGATAAACGAAAACGTGAAATATTGTGTAGATCAAAACAACAGAGGTTATTGTTTACAACTTGGACCGCATTATAACGAAAAGAATAACAGTTAATGTTCGAAGTTCTAGATTCACAGGGTGTTAGATGACGTTAGAAAACTAGTGAATGTCAGGTTCTCTCAATACCAGGAAAAGTCTTCAACAAGGTATTGTTAAACAGGATGAAGAACTCCGTAGACGCACAACTTCGAGACCAACAGGCAGGATTCCGTAAGGATAGATCGTGTACAGACCAAATCGCAACTCTACGGATCATTGTGGAACAATCAATTGAATGGAATCCATCACTCTACATTAACTTCATTGACTACGAAAAAGCATTTGATAGCGTGGACAGAACAACCCTATGGAAGCTTCTTCGACACTACGGCGTGCCTGAGAAGATAGTCAATATCATACAGAATTCCTATGATGGATTAAACTGCAAAATCGTGCATGGAGGACAGTTGACAAAGTCGTTCGAAGTAAAGACTGGTGTTAGGCAAGGTTGCTTACTCTCACCCTTTCTCTTTCTCCTGGTGATCGACTGGATCATGAAGACGTCAACATCTGAAGGGAAGCACAGGATAAAGTGGACATCTAGGATGCAGTTGGACGATCTAGACTTCGCAGATAATCTGGCTCTTCTATCGCATACGCAACAACAAATGCAGGAGAAGACAACCAGTGTAGCTGCAGCCTCAGCAGCAATAGGTCTCAATATACACAAAGGGAAAAGCAGGATTCTCCGATACAACACAGCATGCGCCAATCCAATCACAATTGACGGGGAAGATTTGGAAGATGTACAAACCTTTACGTATTTGGGCGGCATCATCGATGAACACGGTGGATCTGATGCAGATGTGAAGGCACGGATTGGCAAAGCAAGAGCAGCATATTTACAACTGAAGAATATCTGGAACCAACACCAAAGTCAGAATTTTCAATACAAATGTGAAGACAGTTCTACTGTATGGGGCGGAAACCTGGAAAACTACGAAATCCATCATCCGAAAGATACAAGTGTTTATTAACAGTTGTCTACGCAAAATACTTCAGATCCGTTGGCCGGACACTATTAGCAACAACCTACTGTGGGAGAGAACAAATCAGATCCCAGTGGAGGAAGAAATCAGGAAGAAGCGCTGGAAGTGGATAGGACACAGATTGAGGAAAGCACCGAACTGCGTCACAAGACAAGCCCTCACATGGAATCCTCAAGGCCGAAGGAGGAGAGGAAGACCAAAGAATACATTACGACGGGAAATGGAGATAGATATGAGAAAAATGAACAAGAATTGGATGGAACTAGAAAAGAAGGCCCAGGACAGAGTGGGTTGGAGAATACTGGTCGGCGGCCTATGCTCCATTAGGAGTAACAGGCGTAATTAAGTAAGGTTCCACGTTATACAATTTCTGATTATTTTTATTATGTCAACAGATAAATTATTCATCCTATTTACAGATGAGAAGGATAACACAACTACATGTGACTAACAGTTAGATCTTTATTGTCACTCAGTCAGGGATTTTCATCGAATATGATGAGTTGGTGAGTTATTCTTCGAACAAATGACATTGCGTTCGATAATATTACCTCCCATTACCAAACTAAGAATATCGCACTTATTATATAAAAAGCTAAATCGTTCTCGTAACTACGCAAAGCAGTAATTCATAGCAAACTATGTGACGCACACAAGACGGTTAAGAAACTATAAAATCATTGAGTGAGTGAGAATTACCAAATATACACAAGTCACAACTCAAAAGCAAATAAAAAGATGTAGATATTTTTACGTCAAATTCTGTTAAGAATGAAACGCACAGTTGAATAAAACAGTGGATACCGGGTGTATAAAAGACTTTAATTACAAAAGTCGTCACTGATGGGACTGAATGGCTTCAATCTATTACCAAATATAAAAAAGGCCAAAAACAATTCTGAGCCGAACCGATTGTTCAATCATCTTCAAATACTGCATTTGTTTATGATGAGAAATGTTTTCGGATTACGATATATGGTGTTCTAAATTTATGTTATTCTTATCCGAATCTAATGATAATGTGAAAATTTAGGCTATGGCCATGATCACACTAGTTAATCTGTCATTATCGTAAAATAAAAAATACACGATTATAAATGGAGTTCGTCAGTGTGTGTTGATTCAAAGAATAGTCGTTGGTGTAGTATTATTGTGTAAATCAGTGGTAATCGGATGAATTAAAGTAAAATAATTAACTGAATAATTGAATCTACTTTGTTATCAATAGTCATGGCACTTTAGGTATGAAAGGACAGAACATCACTTACTATTCAACATTTACTAAAGTGCACCTAGCTACATACCATTTCATCTATCCAGATTTTTCGGATTTATCTATGTACGAAAGTATTTGTTTAGTATAGCTTTGGTCTCAAAGTTGATTTGGTGTTACCTATCTAGTGAATGTATTGTTATTGTGATGTCAAGCTAAATGACCATTTAAGGATTAAGAGTTTCAAACATCATTTATATTCCCTTGAACTTATAGTCACTTGCCTGGATGTCTCGCGGACATTACAATCACTGCATTTAATTCCGTAGTTCCTATTTGGATATCGTATCCTTGATATTTACTTGTGTAGAATAGAGCATCAAGGATACGAAAACGCAATTTTACATAATGTTTATTTAGAATTATGGTGTCCTCGGATTTATCTTGATCGTATGAGACGATAGTCTTAATCAAAACTGTTGGTGAATATTTTGATTTAATTCTACTTTCATGTTAATTATACTTCGTACAAAATATTTTGGAATGATTATTTAGTCCTTAGGGTAGATATGATTAAATATTATCCAATCCATTTACCTTCTAATTCGATAACATGATAAAACCTCTGATAATCGGATTTTTAGCATCTGTTACTTTTATTGGTAAAGCATACGTTGGAATTCATCCTGAATGTATTTCTAAATATGTTGGATTGAAGAAAATACCAACCTTCATGTGATATTATAATCTTTGTTAATTGACTGGTCAAAAAATGCTAGTTTGTGGTTAACCGATTAGATCTTGTAGGCAAACTTGATGTTATTTGATATAATGTTCACATTATTTAAAAGGTCCATTCGATCCATCTAATTTCATAATGACTAAAATATTATCTGTAAACTGCAATTTTTGACGGGACTGTGTACACTACAATGATAATACACCTGTTCAAAGTAAATACATAAAAATCCAGATTGTCACAAAAGCTAGAGATCCAATTATCACAAATTCTATTAATCAATGTATATCTCTTCGAAATATGAATAACACGAAATTTAAGTACAGTGTTAAGCTTGTAATAAGCTTAAAGAGTGTCCCGAGGTACAACGCAAATTTGCGTTTTCACAACATTTTAAATATTCTTGAATTATAACTAACGATTTCCTAATCGATGAATGAATAAATAAAGAGCAACCATTAAACATTCCCACTATTTTAATTTCTTCAATACACATTGAAGTAGTTTTATTCTTCAATTCATTTTAAATTTTGAGTCTATAATTCATTTCTCTTTTATCAGGTTTGCTGATTTTGCCCGGGTATTTTGGACGATGTTAAGTCTATGACTTTGTGGATTAAGTCACTTTCTGTGGGTTTTTAGTATTCGATAAAATTTACAAAAGTAGGAGCCCCTAGATGACCATCTCAGTATATAATTATGATCATGGTAATAGCCTAAAGTGTCACGTAATCATTAAAGTCGGATAAGAATGATATACATTTACACATACATTTAGAACACCATACATTGTAATCTGAAAACATTTCACATCATAAACAAATTCAGTATTCGAAGATGATTGAACAATCGTTTGGTCCAGAAATTTTTTGACCTTATTTATCTTTGGTGATTTTGAATGCTTCTCTGAACAAGATTGAGAATCACAGAATAAAACGTTAAAACTATCAAATTCCTTTCGCGGTGTTTCTAAAATTTTAATTTTACATCTAATATGTATTCCGTCGGTATTGCTATAATGCGACCCATAATTGTACATCAAGATCATGAAAGTATTACGTAAATATATCTTGAAAAATTACATCAACGGTCAATAGAAAAATGTCCTATTGCCAAAAAACACACAAAACATATAAGATTATTCATTAACTTTCCGAATTCAATGTGCCATAGACGTATGGAATAAAAATTTCATTAAATACACACACACAAAAACAAAGATTTACACTAACATTTCCACACTCACTTAAAGTAAGCAGTCTCTTAAGCAAACTTGGCATAAGCGACTTAATGAAGTAAATAATTAGTTTAAATCAGAAAAATTATGTGGAATAAAATCGAAACCTAGGTCGAATTTAGTTTTCTAAATTGATTCAAGTTAAACAATAAATGTCACATATATTTCTCCAAATGACAAGTCTGAAAAGCAACTGAAAGTACAAAAAAACGGGAAGTTAGTATCGCTTTTCGAACGTTCGCCCCCAAATGCCCTGGTACGGCCGAGAGTGGGGAGAGTCCGCTCTCCCTCTCGAAATGCTCTCACATGGCCATGCGTATATAGCCTCTGCCAGGGAAGTCCTACTCACTGCCTTCTCGTGGCGGGGGTGTTGTTTACAAAAATGAGAGGACGAAAAGCAAGTGTCTGGCGCTTTAACCGGGTCCCAAACCAATGGTGCACATGGGCTCCAGTATCCTGAAGGAACAAATGGCGTATGAACCAATCGTTGGTCACCGGCTACCATGGGACTGCATCTCCTTACGATGCTCCACTGCCTTGTGGGTCAGACGTTCAGGTCAAAGGCTCGGGGTGTGTCCCCCTAAGAAAACCACCTGCTTCGGTTTGGGCACCCGAGCAGTATCACAGCCCTCATACAAATTAATTGAGATTTGTGTGGCGCATATGTATTTGGTGCCTCCCTGTACCTATACTTATGTGTTAAAATAAATAAATAAATAATAAATTTTCGAACGTTCTAAATTCACAGCAGGAATAGAAACTATTCAAACGAATGTAAACAAATACTATTTTAACCTAATTATATGTAATACTACTTAGAGATTACGTCATATTATTGATTTTTCAGACTCCTTTGTACATCTGTGTGTATTATGTTACAAAGCACACATACATTATTTAAGAGTTACCGATGCTTTTACAACTGTGTAAGTTGGAGTGATTATGAACATGTGATACATAAAAGTCATATACATAGACTTCTAACTGAATCATACGTCTGTGAAATCATTTTGGAAATAACCGAGCATATGCATTAAGTATGAAAAAGCAATAGGTAATACCGCATAACATAACCAATGTGGACAATCACTAACAGCGTCTGACTTTCTAGTCACACAAAACGGATATTTAATTTATTGAAATAAGTGTGATTCTTCGTAAAAAAAGAGCAAGTTATATTTACAAAAGATGAAAAGCTTTAGATATATAAATGCGATATAAAATTCATACTTTTCGTAAAATCGAAAATCAAGCTCAGGACATATAGAAAAAGTAATATCCACTAAGAGGGCATTGATGATAGGAAAAAACTATTACTTGACAGATCGTACAAAACTCGAGAAAGATTGACTCGCGAAGAGCAGGCTGGTTTTCGTTTTGGTCGAGGATGTATTGATCATATCCATCCTCTTCAAAAGGTTAGAACACCTTCATGCTTATCATAGGCAAACAATTGAAGAAGGGTGTGCCTGAGAAGTTTATTAACATCTTGAAAGCCCTGTATATAAAAACCTCAGGTAGAATGAGGGCATACAACCACCTTTCTCCATTATTCCATTCAAGCAGTGGAGTTAGGCAGAGTTGCCCAATCTCACCATTCCTCTTCAACTTTGCCATCGATGACATTCTTGAAACAGTTCTGATGGATGTAAGTAATGGTGGTGTGGATCTGTTGCCTGGAGATTTTTCGACGTTGAGTGTGCAGATGATATTGTTCTACTGTGCAATGATACCCTAGCTATGCAATGTACACTTGATCAGTTGGCAATCAATGTCCATAGGTTATGGTATATGCGTTGCACCTTCGAAGTACAAAATACTTTTACAAGATTAGCAGGACTCTGAACCTGCACTCACTCCGGGTAGTGAGCAGATAGAAGTAGTCGAGAAGTTCGTGTATTCAGGCAGCTGCATAAGTGCTGGTGGCGGCATGGGTAATGAGATCAATTCACGTTTAGTGATAGCCAGAGAAGCTTATGCAGATATGGGCCATCTTTAGAGCCTTTATGATGTTAGTCAGACTGTAAAAGGTCGGATCTACAACGCATCGACGAGAGCAGTTTTGATCTGTGCTTATGAAACCTGGTGTCTTCGAGTTCAGAATGTTAAGTGACTCTCTTTGTTTTATCACTGCTAACATTCAGTGGCAACATCATGTCAGTAATGCAGGGGTTGGGCAACGTCAGTTCGGACAGTAACGATAAGTGGATTGGTGTCACCATCTGGAAAAACCAAAGTCGGTGTCTCGGACATGTTCTACGAATGTCGACCCAGAGAATTCCACATCACGCGTTAACTGCAGACGCTAGGACTGGTTGGATAAATCGGAAGTTGTCATTACATAACATGCTAACGTGTGAAAGTGGTACAGGACAGGAACTTGTCAGTCCTTTACGACCCCCTGATTGGAGTCCGAGAGACAATGCAACATAGTGTCCTAAGACGCTACTAGATAGAATAGAACCTAGTGAGGGTCCTGTAGTAATTTTATTTTTATTTTTTCATGTAGGTGAGTGGATCTTATTTGACTGGAAGGATCTTTTCGAACTGTATTCTTAACTGAACTGTTTCCCTGTCACTCTTTTTACGCTCATTCATTTATTAATTATTGATTACACTGACTTTCCTTTCCCTATTTCTTTGCAGTCGCATTTTCTTATTGCGTGGCGCATATATATTTTGGTCCCCCTTTGGACCAGCATTTATGCTTTAAATAATTGTCTTTATAAAGAGATTCATTTGACATGAAAATAGGTTCTAATTTTAAGGCGATCGAAGTTTCGAAAATAAAGTAACTTATGTACTTCATAATCTCACCCATAAAATGAATTATACGATAAGCATCCTCAGAAAATATCGTATTAACTTCTCATTCTCGATGAGACTAAAAAGGTTAATACGGGGCACACTATGTATATAGATGTGGAAACAATGATCCTGGGGGAGTTAATTAATCTAAACATGACACAAATATGTACCAACACAGTTGCTTATGAACGCGCAAAAAATTTAGACTTACATGTTTTCCACTATAGGTAAGGAGTCTGCATCCACACCTGAAATGGTAATTCACGAAAAAGTTATACTTAAAGCAATCGTAGATGACTTTGTTAAAATCTTTCATAAACAATGCAAGATCATGGAAATATGGAGTTTAAGTCAAATAATTCACATCAATCGAGAAGCATCTAAATAAGTCAGTCAGTCATCTACGACGTTGGATCAGGTACATATATGCATCGGTCCAAGATGTCACATATGATAAGCACAACAAGATCAACAAAGTCATAGAACCACTTATTTCAATGGTAATAAAATATATGAAAAAAGATTGCGTATAACGATATGATGCAGGGAGAAAAAATCAGATCGTAGAAAGAAAGGTACAAAATAATTTCAATCTCACGGTTTAAGGGAAGACAAAGAGTGTATACACCTACACCATTCTCATCGATTCTGAACAATGTCACAAACAGTCTCCAACCAACGGTTACGACAATTAAGCGGACCTTAACAGAGAAGTCTGCATTTACCAGCATGGCTCAGACTAGAAGTTAGTGACTTTGTGGAATGATGCCAAATTTGGTCTCGCCATACCTAACTTCCTTCCATCCGTCCCCAACACTAGTTAGTAATGTTTTCCGTGGTAAACCGTAGTTGGGCATGTGTGATACGTGACCCAACTATTTCAGTCCATGAAAATTCACAACCTCATGGACCGATTTACTATCATTCCCTAATACTCTGAGACTCACTTCACTATTACTTACTCGGTGATCCCAGCAGATGTGTGCAACATTTCTAAGACATCAGTGACAAAATACTATTAACTTCCAATTATTCTCTACCCTTGATTGTCACGTATCGCAGACATAACGTAAAACGAAACGAAAAGATGCACAGCATACTCATCCCTTAATTAATAGACGGATATCTCGACTTCGTCATAGGTGACATAAGTTGACAAAATCCAAACGATCTTTCTAAATACGTGTACAGATTTCGTCAGACACCAACGAATTAGGGTCGGGCAGACTTTCAACATACGTGAAGTCATCGACGGGTTCGACTATTTCGCTCCCTATCCTTAGTTCAAGTGTTGATGCATACAAGTCCTGAAGCAACAAATTGAATTTAGAAGACGAGGGTGTATCTCGTCGGCTGTCCGTTTTGCCGAGGTGAGGTCAAGTGAATGTCCACACTACTATCCTGTATGTGTGTTTCCGAGACACAGTATACATCAATCGTACGAGATTCTAGGGTTTTAGCCAACGAGGCCTGCTGGCCGATTTCACATAGGGTATGTACGTTCAAGGCTCCAATGTGTAGTTTGGAGCGAGGTTTCAGTAGACCTGGGATAGTATTTCCCGCACTAGAATTGTTGGCCATGGTGACACTTGAGGAGGAAGTCGAAAGAGGAAGTTTAGAGTTCAACGTCGAGGAAGGAGGAATAATAGGAATTGAGGACGGAGATAGATTATGAATACAATGATCTTGAGTGCTGTTAGAGGTGTGAGGGCGGTTATCACTTCCCGGTTGTCCACACCACGGAAGGGTTCTTGTGGAAGTACTTCATAAGGAAATCGAGTTAGAGTTGGTCTTAGTGACTTGATAGCGTGACCGCAGTGCCCAACAAACAACTTGTTGGGACCGTACCGCAGGAGACGGAAATTCGTGGGACAAGGCGAAGTGTGCAATTTTAGGGTTGACCTTTTTAACCCCACCCTTCATTCGTGGGAAGGCGGCACCGCTGTTATGCTGGTTGTCTGAAGGAAACACCTTACTGCCGTCACATTTCTGTATAGTGAGTAGTAGAACCCTCAAACACTTTCAACATCAACACATATCAACCGATCTGTAAATCTATCAATCAATAATCCAATAAATCCGATGGACAGTCAATCTCTCACACACACTACTCACATCATCATCAACAAACTTATCATAACTCAACAACACTCAAGTCTATCACAAACATCTCACACAGAAGTTTTGTGTGGCATGTGATGGAAAGCATAGATCTTAATAATTTCTCGTAAAGGCAAAATCGAAATAAATTTTCAAACCCCCAGAGTTTAAATCTAGTAATGTCTGAAATACCTGGCACATTTCGGAATTCTATTACGACTTCTTGTGGTTGGCCTTTATTAACTCAAGAAATAGCCAAAATAATGGTTCATGATTATGCATGGACTGCTTTGCCCCCAAATGCCCTGGTACGGCCGAGGTTGAGAAGAGTCAGCTCTCACTCTTGAAATAGTCTCACATGATTACGTGTGTACAGCCACTGTCAGGGAAGTCCTACTCACTGCCTTCTTGAGGTGGGAGTGTTGTTCACGAAATTGAGAGGACGAAAAGCAAATGCCCGGCACTTTAACCAGGTTGGTGGACACGGAGGGTCCACCTAGAAGAGTTGAAAACGTTGATTCCAAACCAATGGTGCACATGGGCTCCAGAATCCTAAGGGAACAAATGGCGCATGGACCAACTAGTGGTCACCGGCTACCATGCGAATGCATCTCCTGATGCTACTCCACTGCCTTATGGATTAGACCTCTAGGTCAAAAAGTGGGGGTGGCCCCCTTAGAAAACCACCTCCCTTGGTTCAAGTACCCGAGTAGCATATCAGCCTCCTCACGAATCTAATGATGAAGTGTGGTGCATATATATTTGGTGCCGCTTTGTACCAATATTTGTTTAAATAAACAAATAAACATAGACCAGTTTGGGTGGCTGGATTGAGAAATGAAAGTACAAAAATATAATTACCAGTTGCACTAAAAATGTAGCTTGGGAGAATTTAAGTAGAAGGAGATAATCCTAGACAATCTCCGTAAAACCCCTCTCTAGCAATATACATCTGTTACTCCAACAGAATAGATGCTTTCTTTTTGTAAACCAAGCAATATAACTGAATAAATTTTTATTAATCATTAGGTCTAATTAGTACAAAATGTAATGGTAGATCAGTAAACTGTTTATCTTAGCAATTACACCACAGATTGCGCAGAGATGTGCTAAACTATTTGTTGAGGTCTGATGATACTATCTAATAGATAAAACAGACTGAAAGTACACATAATATTTTAAATTCCGTTTTGTTCGCAGCTAATAAATGCTAGAAAGTGTTGGTGACTGATAGAAGAGCCAGTTATACTGTTTAAAAGTCGTGATATTGCCACTAATTTGTAAATGTAGAATTCAGTAATATCTTAAGAAGCAACTGCAACCACTTTTTCACCTACAGACTTTGTTAACAGAAAATTTTAAATTACAATTGACGAGGCACCAGCTGAATCATTTTTGAAATCTCCTTATTTTAAACAAATGGGGTTCATGAAGGACCACTTCGTTCGATTATTGTAAAACAATTATGCATCACCTAACTAAATAACTTAAATCCGAACAAAGTACTCAAACAAAATCACTGAACAACCAATAATGAACCGAAGGGGATTATCCTTGAAATTATACAAGCTAAGTAAACATCAAGTTGAAATTCGTCTTCATTACAGACAACAATTTCAAAGGCATACCATGCGGTCTATATTTAATAGGTAAAGCATGTCACCAACGATTTGTAGTGGTATGTGATAACAATTCATGAATGCACTTCAATTATTAACAAACAATAGGGTCGCGAGTGGATACGAATGGACGATTTTTGAGACTTGTTCCGGCAGCTAACCTTTGACTTTTATATGTAGTTTTGGTAGACGTATACGGGCCTGTAGCGGTCGACCTTAAAGGATTACGCTGACATTACCCAAGATCATTCGATTGCTACACACCAAGCTTAACTAAAGAGTTGTATTTTTTAAAGTGGAAAATACTCTAAATATTTGTAATCAAGACCTTATTTGAATCAGAAGCAAGTATATTAGGGACAGTTCAAGTTTGACAAGTGTTATTATAACTGTCCCATATAATTAATGACCGAAAAAAGAGATGAACACTTCCACTTATTAGACGATTTGCTTTTACTGAATTTTTCGACATAAATGTGTTAAATTACAAACTATCCTATAAGACTGACAACCAAAATTAGACGGTTCTCACGATGAAACTAGAATTTTGGTTCAGTAATTGTACAGTTAAATACTAAACAGAGGATGATCTTTGATAACTAATGTAATTATTAACAACGGAACACAAAATGAACCGAAATGCGCAAGAACTTAAACCTACCTTGCACTGGTCTTAGATTCCGCGCTTAGACCAGTTCCTTTACACACTTGCTTCTTGCGATCCTTATGAAAAATGGTTTATTGTAACAATTATAGTAACCTTTAAATTCCTACTTTTATGTCATTAAATTCATTAATTCAGCTGAAAATATTGTTCGATTGAAATTAAGTCTACCGTAGTGTTTGGGTTTGAGAAAAGTATATACATATATATATTTGCACATGACAGTACATTCAATGCTCAATCCTCTCTAATAAAGATGGCAAATAAGAAGATTCATTTTAATATTTGTAGTTTGTTTTCAGTCGCACATTCGCAACAGACCACGAGTGTGTACGCTGTGCTGCGCATCCATTCCAACTACTAACCAACATAGGTCTGACGTTTCTCGACATATCGATAACTTTCCAAATATTTCTTCTTACTCTTGCGTTTCTGACATCTGATTTGACTGGGTTAAGATACTTCGATTATAAAGGTGTTACGTGTAAGGGCGTTGTCAAACTCCGAATGACTGAGATATCTTCAGTGGTGAGACCGACGTGATCTGGCACACCAAACAATAAACTGGTAGTCTATTCCTTGTTTTAACATTGCACATCACTTTGTTGTTTTCACTTGTTTTTCATACCTTGGTTTACTTTGGTATTTTTGATTCTGCAATGCATAAGCTGACTTCCACAAGCGCGACGTGATATGTTAATATCCCTCATTTCTCGCAGTAGTGAAAGCACCAATGCGCAATTTTAATAGTTGCGGTACACCTAGTATACCTACTAGGGATGTTTCTGAACCATATGACACCTTGAAAAGAGCTATCAATAAAATGGAGACCTACAGGATTGAAAACGTGAGATACGTTTTCCTACAACATTCCATTGCGACACGATAACAGAAATATTACTACGTATGTAATGAATCTTTGCCTAGGGTCTTTTAGACAGCTCTTCATACTGAAATTTCCCCAACAGATGCAGACGAGTTTTTCTTGCTAAAAAATAAAGAAGTAAAACAACTGGCTGCATCTCCCGACTCGATTCTAAAGATCATCAGAACTCCCGGCTCCGAAATTCAGTCTTCCGAACGAAAGTATCAAATGACACGAAATGACAACACGGATCTTATTGATATTTCCACTCGTTACCTCAATATCCTTCATAACCACAGCTCGTCACAAAAACTGTCTGTCTTTAGACCACGAGAGACAGATATTTTTGAATAATGCCAGTACCACAATAAGTACGGCAAACCCTCCAGGAATCTCGGAAAACTTTTTAGTTTCCCAACCTCCAAACCGTCTGACACGGAAAACCTTACGGGAAACATCCCCACCAGCAACCGTATCCTGCAAATATAGCCTTCTGGTGACTATGCGATAATGAAAGTTCGCCATCTCGCCGAAGAAGTTAGCATTCATTCCATGAAGTCCAACGACTGTCTGTGTGAATTAGTCTCTAACCTACAGGCGGCAATCGAAAACCCATTGACTCATACAGTTGTCGATATGCTTATCTTAACGTTGGTTTATTCAAATCCGTTCACTGAATTTTTGTCGTTTCATGTGTTATACGCCAATGACTGGTGTAGATATCCTTCAGCACCATAATCTGATCCGCAATCGGAGGTTAGTAGGAGGAAATACTAAATTATCAGTTTGTGTAAATCATTTTCTTGTTATAGGTTATGTCCAGTCAATTTTAAGCACGCAATCATTCCATACTGTCAACGGATACTCGACAAGTACAGCGGACTGTAACAGACACGACCCAAATTACTATTTGTTATCAGCAGTGCTAATGACCACATCACGACTACAGGATCATTCGTACTTTCGAAATAACGCCGAATAGCTCCCGAAGAGCTTAGGTTGGCCAAAAAAGAATTCGGCGACATGATAGACTTAGTGATTTATCTGCCATTGAACAGCCCATGTACATCTACCATACACAAGTCCCCATAAAAGTCGGCATAAATTGACATACAATTGGTGAAAAGCTCTGCCAGCGTTTATCTTCCACCACACATCAACAACCTGAACGCCACCTCTAAAGATATGATTAGTTTCGATTTGGTTAAAGCATATAGCTGAATTCTAACAGCCGCAGACGACACTCCTAGAATAGCTATCGCCACTCGCTTTGATCTCTACGAGTTTTTGATAAGTCTTGAGATTTAGAACGCTATACTCGATTCCTAAGCTATTCTTGAAGACCCCCAAGCTAGAACTATACAGCGACCTGAACACGAGAGAGAAGGCGCAAAGTATGCGAAAAGTACTTTACTTCAAGGTTCGTTTTTGTACAGAAAAACACGGGTATTTATAGATGTTAACATTTGTTAAATCAACATCATATCTTGGCCAATCCGCTAAAAGACATATTATGCTACTGACCAATAGTAGCACGCCACGTTGGCATTCTAGAAAGCTCCATCGTGCTCTGATTGGCTAAGACTCTTCGGCTCCTTCAGGGCCTCCGGAGGCTCTGTTGCAGTTCTCGGAAAGCCGACTTAACACCTCCCCCCCTTTCAAAAAAATAAGACCTCTCCTTCGGGTCTACTTGCAGCTTGATAACTGGTTTTCTGCTATTTTCGGGGTTTCTTGGTATCCCGCGTCTATGATTGTCTTTTGGGGTTCATGTCAATGAAGTATCTGTAATTATATCTAGCGGAAGCCTCACTTGACTATCAACCATGTCTAGAGTCCTTTTCTCTCTACGTATTTGACTAATGTGTTTAATACATATTCCGAAAGTCCCACGCACTTTGTATAAAACATTCCCCATTCTCTTCTCAATGACTCCCGGTTCCCAACGATTTTTCCCAGTGTATGATTTGACGAGCACTTTATCACTGACATTAAATCTGCGGATATTCTGATTTTGTTTGCGTCCATCCATTTGTTTAGGTGGTAGCGTGACGTCGAATGTAGTTCGGATGCTTCTCCCGAACATCGCTTCAGCAGGGGATTTTCCTTCTGGGACAATAGGGTTAGGCTGACTTGTCCCCTCTCCTTCCCTTTTCAGTAGTGCTCTTTTGAATGTGTCCTTCTCAAATTTCGACGTACTGACGTTGTTGCAGATCGAGTCTATGGGGCGGTCTGTTAACTTCAACTTTTCTATCCAATCAAGCCCCAATAAGTCGAGTGATGGACGGTCTGTCAGAAAAATTACGCCCTTCTCCGTAAAATTTTTGACCGTGACTTCACAATGAATTTCACCAGCAATGTATAGAATTCCCCCAGACGCACTATCTGCTGATTGACGAGTTGGATAAATTCTCGGTCTCCCAATTTTCTCCCACGTTCTCCTGCTTATAAGTGTTATATCGGAGGCTGTGTCTAGTTGTAAGCGAGCATCACACCCATTAATCTTGAGAGAAATATACCTTCTACGGTGATGGGAGCCGGCTTGGTGAAGAGCTACTGTTACTTTTGCTGTTTGTGGCTTGAATCTTTTAGAATGCACTTTCTGTTGACGGCATTTTCTGGTTTTGCAATGACTTTCTTTGTGCCCTTTTCTGGAACACATAGTGCAACGATGATTTTTAAACGGACAAAACCTTTTGAAGTGCCAATCGCCACATAACCAGCATGGGGATGAGGGTTTTTCGCTGTGATTATGATCATTCTGCGTGCTGGAACCTTTTGAGGTCTTTCTCTCGACTGCATGAACATGAAGGAACGGGTCGCCGTTCTCCACCATCGAGGTATCATGCTTTAAATTCACTAAACTTTGACATTCGGTCGCTACTTCTTGCAGGGTCATGTTAGGACAATGTTCGATTTTGCTTAGGATCCTTGTTCGGATGTCAGCATCCGCGGGTGAATGCAGGCTACACACAAACACTAGACATTTAAACTGGTCTTCAGTCATAGAAGACAATTTGAACCTCTCACATTCTCGGTTCACCATTCCTGCATGTTTCACCCAGTCATCTCCTGGTTCTTTCGTTATCTTCAAGCATTGATAACGGATATTAAATAGAGATGATTGTTCTCCAAAGATTTGAGACAGGGTTTTAACTGTTCCATCAAAACTAAAGTCTCGTGGATTCTTCGGAAGAATGAAGTTGCTATAGCGTTCATGTTCCACAGTCCCAAGTTTTCTTAACAGTATTCTGACTTTTGAAGCGTCATCAAGTTTGCAGAGATCAATATGAATAAATCTTCATGCTTTTTAAACCAGGAATCAAATGTTACACCTGCTGCACCATCAAAATTAAATTCATGTATGGCATTTATGATTGAATCAGTATGAGATATTTGTGATTCACCAGAAGCAGGGTTTTGTTGTGACAGGCACAATTTCTGCATCAAGGCTTCCATTATTCTGATTTGCGATTGTTCAAACCTCTTTTCTTGACGCACCATATAAGCTTCTAGCTGCTCCAAAGAAATATTCATTGTAGTCATCCCATCCCCGTCGCCATTGATAAGTCTTGAGATTTAGAACGCTATACTCGATTCCTAAGCTATTCTTGAAGACCCCCAAGCTAGAACTATACAGCGACCTGAACACGAGAGAGAAGGCGCAAAGTATGCGAAAAGTACTTTACTTCAAGGTTCGTTTTTGTACAGAAAAACACGGGTATTTATAGATGTTAGCATTTGTTAAATCAACATCATATCTTGGCCAATCCGCTAAAAGACATATTATGCTACTGACCAATAGTAGCACGCCACGTTGGCATTCTAGAAAGCTCCATCGTGCTCTGATTGGCTAAGACTCTTCGGCTCCTTCAGGGCCTCCGGAGGCTCTGTTGCAGTTCTCGGAAAGCCGACTTAACAGTTTTAGCACAGGTTTGTCGGTTTGAAAACGTTGCAAAGACGTTTCAGAGATTAATCAATGACGCATTTAAGGGTCATAACTTCATGCACACGTATGCAGACGATTACTTGGTTGCAAGTCCGGACATGGAATCTCATCACGAGCGTCTATACTTGTTTTCGAACGACTTCGGAAAGTGGACCTGTCTTAAACACTCAAAAAGTCAGGTCGTAACTGACTCTCTGGACGTTCTTGTGTAAATTATTGACTCAAGGCATCCTTCCTCTGAAAAGCGAAGTGAAGGCAATAATCGATTACCCAAAACTGGATACAGGCAAGTAATCACGCACGTTTCATGGCCTGGTGAGCTTTGATCAACGATTCATTCGGAGTCTCACGTCTTTAAGAAACTCCTTACAGATAAACCTCGTGGAAATAAGAAAAGTCATCTATTTAGACA